TGAGCAGAAAACTGATTGCTGTGCCAATGTAAGGTATAAATAGAGCTGCAACAACCTGAATTCTAAAAAAGAACACTGTCGTAAGTACACTAGAAAAACAAAATTGAAACTGAAAAACCAGCTTGACATTGACCATGAATCGTAAAACACACATTATCAAAGATATAAAACACGGACATCGCATTGAAGGTATTTAAACAAAATAACTGCACCTCTATGAAGAAGAAGGTTAATAAAAGAAGTGAATATAATTGTTCACCAATTCCAACCACAACCCTGTTGAATAAATGATAAAGATTTATAAGTAAGGCAAAAGATAATTCTAACTTAAAATATATTAATCTTAGTTGAAGCTTCTGATAACTTGGAATTTCAGTTTTTGAAATGAAACAGACCCCTCAAGCCCACCAGGTCTGCTTGAATACATGCCATTTTGATTGTCTTGTGAAGCTCTTTCTCCTGAAACTTTTGCCAGATGCATCTCTTTTCTTTTGAGAACCTCAAAAGCATACCTAGCAATGTCGTTATACCTGGATTGGGAAAACAAGAACAGAGTATAAGTTAGGCAAAGAGAAAAAGGTTTTTATGGATCGGTAATGCTATTACACAATACAGCAGATATCAAGCAGAACAAATTAAATCTTTACATTCATAAAAAAAAACTCATATCTACATGAAACCGTCATCATCAAATGCATACCTTACAATAACAACAACATCATGCCTTTATCCCACTACGTGGGATCGGCTACATGAATCCTTTTTCTCCATTGTGTCATGTTAATAGTCAAACTCTCATTTAAATCTAATAAAGAAATGTCATTTCTAATATTTTCTAACCAAGTCATTTTAGGTCTACCTCTACCTTCTTAACCTAAGCCAAATCTAACACATCTACTCTCTTAACCGGGTCATCGGAAGGACGCCGCTTTATGTGACCAAATCATCGAAGGAGACTCTCTCTAATCTTAACTTCCACTGGAGCTATGTTAGGAAATTCTTGAGAAATCCAAGTAATTCCTAACAAGAGAGAAGAGAACAACAAACGAACAAGATTCGGATGGGAAAATTCAGCAAAAACAACACATTTTGATTGACGGAAATCAAATAAACGATGAAACAAACAAGATACAATAGATCCTCAATTTGAGAGGAGGATCTTCTCTCCCAATCACTAGAAGAAATCTAGGGCCCAGGACTCCTAGAGAACAACTCTCAAAAACAGCCACCAAAACATGCATAATCCTAACTCTAAACAATTCTTTCTATTTAATCCCTCCTTCCCTAATTTCAAACACCGGATTCAAACTTTTCCCTCCCACTCCTAGCCGCCCCCCTCTTCTTCCCTAATCGGCTTGCCTAGTGGGCCCCACTAGGCTAGGGCGGCACCATTAAGGGGGCGGTTTGTCCACCTGCTGTAATAAAGAACCGGCCTAACAAGTTACTCCAACCTTTTCATGTATATGCTCATTTCGAATCCTACCTTTAAGAGTAAAGCCACTCATCCACCTAAACATCCTCATCTCTGCAACACTTAACTTAATATTATGCTTCTCTTTTAATTGCCAACATTATGCACCATAAAGCATTAAAATTCTCACCACCATCTTATAGAATTTTCCCTTAAATTTGAGGGGAACTTTCTATCACACAACAAGTCCGATGCATTCAACCACTTCAACCATCAAATTTGAATTCTACTAATGATATCCTCATCTATTTAATCATCAATATGAACAGTAGATCAAAGATATCTAAAATGTGTACTCTTATTAATGATTTGATCACCCAAAGTTTCAATCCTCCAACTAGATCTATTACTAATAAAATTACACTCCATATATTCGATTTTCGATCTACTTAAACGAAAACCTTTAGATTTTAAGGTTGATCTCCATAATTCAAGTTTACCTTCAACTTCCTCTTTAGTCTTATCAACAAGAAGAATATCATCAGCAAAAAGGATACACCGGGGTACAACCTCTTACAAATGTCTAGTGAGAACATCCATGACTAAAGCAAAAAGATATGAGCTTAAGGCCGATCCTTGATGTAATCCAACAGAAATAGGAAAATACTTGGTCAAACCACCTTGTGCCTGAACACAAATAACAACTCTTGCAAACATATCCTTAATGACTTGAATATAAGCATTATTAACCCATTTCTTTTCTAGAACTCTTCATAAGACTTCTCTTGGAAATTTATCAAATGCGTACCTTAAGAAGTTTAAAAATGACTTGTGATTTATGCATAATATTTAACCCACAAAGTGTAAAGGTGCATGAAAAAACATATTCCTTAAGGGTTAAGTCGACTTACCATCCAAGCACCTGGATAGTAATTTATAGTCCCCCTGAGCTACACAGCCAACACCCTCAAACAACCACAGTCATGATTCTGAAACAAAATGTCATTCTCCACCTGACACCCATCCCAACCCGAACATTGTCATAAAACGGAGGCAACTGCATTCTAGATTACTTTCAGGTAATACTAATGCCAAGAAAAAAACAATTTAGAAGTCATCTCCCTTCCACATTAAGTTAAATTGTGAGGTTAATGATTCAAAATCAAAAAGACTAGTAGAAATTTTTCAAAGGAAAATTTTCTGGACCATTCTGAAGTTGGCTGTGCTACAAACTCTATGATGATGAAACAATTTAGCTGCAAAAAGTAAATGAAATCTGCCACTACACTGGAAGTAAGACGACCTACCACATGGTGCTCAGAATAATGCTGAACCCATAAAGTGGATAGAACCAAAAAACCTGGAAGGCAGTAGTAAATTGGTTAGTCCAACCACAGTGGTAATATCTAAGAAAAAGATCAAGCATGAATCAACCATGAATTGCGCAGGGAAGAGGAAAAGAACACAGAAACAAATGCAGAAATTAATAATTGACGAGGTGAATCTACTTGGTCTTTCAAAAGTAGGTGATGTAACCATCCAAAGGTTACTCCCCTCCCTGCACATACCACTTTCGTCTCTCAATATTTAAGAAAAATATAGTTTGAACCCAAGTAGTTATTTCAAAAACTTTACTGCAAAATTTTCTTCAAACTTTAATTATTGGGTAGGGTTAGTGAGGTGCTGGGAGAGGGGGTACCAATACAACACAGATATTGAAGGGTGATAGCATTACAATAAATTTTAACTAAATGGTGGAGGCTTTGAAGAGAATAAAAGAATAAAATATAAAGCCAATTTGGTTGAATCACCCCTATAAATGTAAATCTTTGACTAACCCATTTTTATGAGCAAAGGGAATATTTTGAAGATCTTGTATTTATATAAGGATCTTAAAGAGATCATTATTGACTTTAAAAGATCTTTTTATTAACTTTGAGAGATCTTATAATATCTTTTTAAGTTCTTGTAATAAAGTATACATACTAAAACCCTTCTTGTTATTATTATAAAAAGTCCCTAAAAGAAGGGTTTAGCATCACAAAACTATTAAAAAAAGGAGAAAAGGGGGACAAAAGGAGAGAGATTGCTAATCAAAGGGACAAAATGAGGAAATATTTGGGTGCTTACACGCAAAGATGTCCTCCACTTATTTATGAAGAAAGTGCTGCTAGTTTTGCTACAAACAAAAAGAGAAACTTTGGCCATAACAAAGAGAAGCTCTCATTTGAACTCCTATAATAAAGAAGAGAAGAAAGCAATAGCAACAACATATTCTTCTCTATATCTAGCACTCATTTTCACAACAAGTGGTAGCATTCTCTTTCAACCACTAATACAGAGAAAATCAAGGTTTAAAATTGCGCAATTAGGTATTGAGGCGTTTTTTATTTATGTGGCGAGGCATAAGTCTCAAGTCGTTTTGAGGTGTAAGCCTCAAAATTCAAAAATTTTGTAAAGCGAAAATAAAAGTTAAAAGTGATACTTTATATAATACTCAAATAATATATTAATAGATAACAATATTAACTTTATATTGAACTATAAAATAACAAATTGACATAAATATGAAACAAAAAAGTGTACAAGACATAAAGTGGCAAGTGATAAAT